GACTTTTCCTGACCTTTTCCAGAGCACGTGGCAAAAGACGTGCCTTCGCACGGGAACCAGGGGCCCGTTCTGTATGCTGCCTTGTTTTTTTAACTTTCCTAATAAGGGACTCTTTATTGCCTTGACACTTGGTGGAAAGAAAGCGTCCGGGGATTAAAAGAATGTCGTTGCGCCTTTCGCCCTTCCAGTGTCATCTGGGCCTCGGTCCCACTTCTTAATCAAGCCCAGAACGGGAGACCTTCCCAGTCCCCAGAAAGTCCCCGTGACTGCAGATCCGCTGTGCTCTGCGGACGGGCGGGCCCAGGTCCCCGCCTCTCTCTGCCCGGCCTCTGGGTTTGGGTGGCATCTGTGTCACCGTGTCCCGGGTTCACACGACCCCCTTTCACAGCCTTCTGACCGGCAAAGCCTGCAGGGAGGCCCTGTTCACCAAACAACCGTGTGACCAGCTTAGCAGCTGCCGTGGTTGCCTTAACAAGAAAGGTCGTAAAACGAGGCTATTCAAACAGTTCCTCACTTAGCTACAGAAACGTTGGGCTCAATTGTGGTCGTAAACAGAGGACTGTGTGGCTGTCCTGGGTGGTTGTGGTTGTGGTTGAGGAAGGGGGGGGCAATGTCCTCAGCCAAGAGGGGAGGGAATGGGGGGAGGAAGGCAGGCCCAGGGGAAGGGGTGCCACGTGGAAAGCCAGTTCTTGGCCCGATATTTGGTGAAGGCCCTGGAGGGAGGGAGGGAATCTCCTGGGAAGAGCAGCTCACAGAGCGAATGAGGGGGGGAGGGCCTTTGCCCCTCCAGATTACTCCGGGATCCCCCCAAGATTTTATCGTGGCTGAAATGTAGATCAGTCAGAATGCCCTGAGATTTCTTTGTGCTGACCAAAGAGGGGTTGGCAAAACCTCTAGGACGCAGCCTTTTCCCAGCGCTTCAAAACAAAACCCATTTTCCATTTCACCCCCATCCCCTCTATGCCCCCCCCAGCTTCAACGTTCCCGTGTCCCCCACAAGACAGCCCGAGGGTCTCTGCCCCACTCGGGGTAGGCAAGTGCGAGGAGGCCGTTGTTTACAACCAGGATACGCCGCCCGTGCTAAACAACGCAGCTCGGCTACGAGACTCTGTTGTATACACTTGTGGATGATTGCAGATGGTTTTATTTTGCATAATTCTGTTTTGTTCCCTATTAAGAAGGAGAAGGAACTTCGTAATACTGGCTTTAAAATAATCCAGAAAGTCTTTGGCAGAGAGGAATAGGAATGGGGGGGACGACGGCTAAAGAAGCTCTGTGGATGCCTTTCCAGACACGTTCTGTGGAAACGCAGGCGTGATCTTTCCTTTCACCAAGACATCTGAGGGCCTGACAGGCCCAGATGCTCGTGGCGCCGTCCTCGAGACGAAAGCCCGGGGTCTTCTGAACCGGGCCCTGCTCTCCGCAAGATGACACGCTTGCAGCTTTCTCTAACCGGGACCCAGGTGGGGAGTGGGACTCGTGTCCCAGAATGCACCACATCCCCTTGGCTTTTCTTAGCATGACAGCTAGGTAAGCAAACAAGGCACAATTCCAGTCTGTCACTTAAGCCATCCTCTGATGAAGGCCAGTTTGTTGGAAGGTTTGGCTGGAAACCTCTTGCAGAATTAGCCCTGCTAGCCGACCCCCTCCTCTTTGTGGCAGCCCCTCAAATTTTGGACTGGCGCTGGATGGCTTATTGAATGTCCAGGCCAGGGGTGGGCAACCTTGGCTCTTTTTATGACGCGTGGACTTCAACTCCCAGAATTCCTGAGCTAATCATGCTGAGGGGAAAGGGAGAGGTTTCCAAGCTGAGCCCTGCTGGCTCAGGAATTCTGGGAGTTGTAGTCCACGCGTCATAAAAGAGCCAAGGTTGCCCACCCCTGGCCTGGACATTTCCTTGCCATGGTGTGGAAGTGCTTTGCCCCTTGTGCCTTTCCAGATCTCCTGCAACTTCCAGCCGAGCCTGCAAGCGGTGATTGCTCCAGGGGTCTCTGGTGGAAGGATTGACCCAGCCTGACCTCTTGGGGGTCGCCTTCCCTTGCGTAGGAAGACGATTGCCTTGCTCCAGAATTAGCAGCTGTAGACCCCTCACTCCAAGGAGGGGGCAAACAGAGCCAGCATCCACAAGAGGTCCCCCTCAAAGGGGGGAGGCTGCAGCAGCAGAGCCCATCTCCCTTCACTAGACCCCCACCTGGTCGTCGGGACGTGGCCCCGGTCTGGTTTTGCAAGGCAGGGCTGTGAGTGTGAGAGGAACACAATCGACCGTTAGATGTTGGACTGCGGCTTTGTAGAGGAGTTCAGTCAGCAAGGCCTTCTCCTCGGGGGACCCTCCTGGGTCCTCAGTCTTGGGCTGGAGGTGGTAATCATGATGATGATGATGATGATAATAATGATAAAGTTGGAAGGGACCTTGGAGGTCATCGAGTCCAACCCCCTGCTCAGGCAGGAACCCTACACCATTTCAGACAGATGACTGTCCAGTCTCTTCTTAAAAACTTCCAGTATTGGAGCATTCACTGCTTCTGGAGGCAGGTTGTTCCACTGGCTAATTGTTCTAACTGTCAGGAAGTTTCTCCTTAGTTCCAGGTTGCTTCTCTCCTTGATGAGTTTCCATCCGTTGCTTCTTGTCCTGCCTTCAGGCGCTTTGGAGAAGAGCTTGACTCCCTCTTCTTTGGGGCAGCCCCTGAGATATTGGAAGACTGCTATCATGTATCCCCCTCGTCCTTCTCTTCATTAAACTAGACATTCCCAGTTCCAGCCACCGTTCCTTATATGTTTTAACCTCCAGTCCCCTGATCATCTTTGCTGCTCTTCTCTGCACTCTTTCTAGAGTCTCAGCATCTTTTTTACATCGTGGTGACCAAAACTGGATGCCGTATTCCAAGTGTGGCCTTACCAAGGCCTTGTAAAGTGGTATTAAAACTTCACGTGATCTTGATTCTCTCCCTCTGTTGATGCAGCCTAGCACTGTGTTGGCCTTTTTGGCAGCTGCAGCAGGCGGCAAAGATGGTTTTGGCCCTTGTACCTGGTGCTGTGTCTTCTGAGTTTATTGGGGGCATAAACAAACACAGTTTAAAAGCTCTCTGACGCTGCCCCTTTGGCAGCGCCTGGCTGGGGAATTCTGGGAGTTGAAGTCCACAAGTCATCAAAGGGCCAAGTTTGAAGACCCCTGCTCTAGTCTAACCCCCTCCTCCTTGGCTCCACTTTTAGCCGCTGTCGGGTGAGGGATAAAGGGGAAACTGAGTCGCTCACATCTGCTGAGTAAACCAAGCAGCTGGCAGTTGAATCTTCACCGGGACCACACACTCGGATGAAATCTCAGGTTAATGAACCTCCTCCTAGCAGACCCTGAACACAACAGTCAAACATTCTGCTTGGACATCCCCCCCCTCCCCTCCAAATTACAGACAGTTCTGTTGCATCTGTAGGAGCATGGCTGGCTGGGGAATTCTGGGAGTTGAAGTCCCCAGGTCTTAAAGTTGCCAAGTTTGGAGACCCCAGGGTTAGTTTATATATCTTTCTGCATATGATGTGAACTCAGAAAACAGGTTAATTCAGCGTTTCAGCAGACAACTGCCTGCCTGCCTGCCTAACCCATTCTGCCTTATCCAGGTCTGTCTATGACGGTGCAGAACATGGACGCTTCATGGAGAAGCTGGACGCTCGCATCCGGAATCACGACCGGGAGATCGAGAAGATGTGCAACTTCCACTACCAGGGCTTTGTGGACTCCATCACGGAGTTCCTGAAGGTCCGGGCAGAGGCCCAGAAGCTGAAGGTAAAGGGGGGGGTGTCAGCCAAAGGCAGTTTCAAGAGGCTAACGTGGCATGGAGCATCTCGGGGGCCAGATGAGTCCAAGTTAGTCACCTGGGAGAAGGCCAGTGAGGGACTGAGGGTGCAACTCCATCATCTCTCTCTCTCTCTCTCTCTCTCTCTCTCTCTCTCTCTCTCTCTCTCTATCTATCTATCTATCTATCTAATTCTATCTATATCTATCTATCTATATCTATCTCTACTATCTACTATCTATCTGTATGACCGTCCATCCATCCACCCATCCAGGCAGGGAATGATGGCCCCTTTATAATTTGTGGACCAACTCCCAGAATTCCCCAGGCAGCATGCTCTACAGTCTAGGCCAGGGGTAGGCAACCTTGGCTCTTTTATGACTCGTGGACTCCCAGAATTCCTGAGCCAGCCTGGCTCAGCTTGGAAACCGCCCTTTCCCCTCAGCTTGGCTGGCTCAGGAATTCTGGGAGTTGAAGTCCACCAGTCATAAAAGAGCCCAGGTTGCCTACCCCTGGCCTACATCATGGCTGGCTGAGGAATTCTGGGAGTTGAAGTCCACAAGTCATAAAGAGTCGATCGTTCCCCACCTCTGATCTATATCTGTCATCATCCATCCAGTTTGTGCTCCCAGCAACTCTGGGGGGGGGGCTGGGAGGCGGGGGGGGCTCGCCTCATGGGCTAAAAAATCGCCCTTCCAAACTTTCTTTTACAGAATCAAGTCACGGATACCAACCGGAAGCTGCAGCTGGAAAGCAAGCAAGTACGGAAGCCTCGGCTCCTCTCTTTGAAGCCTTTGTGGCCATTTTATTTACGGGCATTCCTCAGCTTGGGACTGCAGCTGGGACCGGAACGGCGAACGCAGAGCACAGAATCGGACGGCTGGCGGGGGCCTAAAATGCTGGAGGGAGCGTGTCGATCAGGCCAGGGGTGTGGGAATCCATCCGTCCAGTCTGTGCTTTAGCTCGGTCCTGCCCCCTTGAGTGTTTTCCGTCACGAAGCCCAAGTGACACCCAGGCGCTGGCTCTTGGCGGCCGAACCCTGGCCCACCCAGCTGCTTGCCCCTTCAGCTGGCCTGGAGGCTGGCTGGGGTTGGCTGTGCACGCACGTGGTCCCTGCGCTGGCTCCTGGCTCTCAACCAGCCCCTCTGGGGAGGGAAGGGGGCTGGGGCTGCCTGGGGTGATAAGGCCCGTGTCTCTCTCTCTCTCTCGCAGCTGGTGGGCGCCATGGAGGAGCTGAGCCAGTGCCGGTTGCAGCAGTGGAACATCTCTGCCACGGTGGACAAACTCACCCAGTGCCTTCCCGGTGAGAGAGAGACTCGCAGCAGAGGACGGAGGCACCTGGAGACGCTCTCCTCCTCCTCCTCCTCCTGACTTCTGCCTTTGTTTTTGTTCCTTCCGCTAGTTCTGGAGATGGAGAGCAAGCTGAGGGAGCAGATGAAGTCCAAAAGGTAGGAGGCGCTCCTGGGCGGCTCTGGGTTTCATCCAGGGACCAAGGAAGGTTCCGGAGGTCGGGCTTGATTAACCACGGAGCCCTGGCAGTGCAGTGGTGAGAGTGCAGCATTGCAGGCTGACTCTGCCCACTGCCGGGAGTTCGATCCCGACCGGCTCAAGGTTGACTCAGCCCCTTCCGTCCTTCTGAGGTCGGTAAAATGAGGACCCGGATTGTCCCTGGGGGAAGGGGGGGGCAAGAGGCTGACTCTGCCAACCGCTTAGAGAGGGCTGAAAAGCACAGTGGGGCGGTATATAAGTCTTATGGCTCTTGCTATTAAGCCAAAGATCTGTGAGGGGTGGAATATAATGCTGGGAGGGGCCTGACCCAAGTGGGGCTCACCCCTAAACTGGGGGTCCCCAGTCGTGGCAGCTTTGAGACTTGGGGATTTCTGCCAAACTCAAGAAGAAGGGTGAATTTCTCGCTCTTCTTATTGACTCCGGCGTGGCTTTACTCCTTCGTCTGCTTCTTTTTCCAGAGTCACCGTTGTGAGTGGGGCAGCTTTGTAAATTGATGTAATAAATGAGAAATAAATAATATCCCAGACCCTTGATTCCCCTTTCCTGCTTTAAAAACACTATAAGGTTTAACGTGAGTTTGAACTTACAAGTAGAGTTCATTAAATCATTGCACCAACAGTTTCTGTGGACAAATTCCTTTTTTTGTTTTTGTTTCTCTGGCTTGGTGGGTTCTCCTGATTTTGCATTTGCAGTTTTTCTGGGAAAAGGTTTTCCTTATCAAGGAAAAGACCGTTCCTTTCAGATGGCCGTTGGGCCGTTGCAGTAAATACGAAGAGGGGGACCCCCTCTTTTGCTCATAACCGCTCCTTAAGAAGGGGGCACGAGGCTTGAGGCTCCCCTGGATGTCAGAGCCCCGGGGTGATCGTGGACACTTCTGTGGGCCAAGGGGGAGGAGTGGGAACCGTTCTCTCTCTCTCTCTCTCTCTCTCTCTCTCTCTCTCTCTCTCTCTCTCTCTCTCTCTCTCTGTGTGTGTGTGTGTGTGTGTGTGTGTGTGTGTCTGTGTCTGTGTGTGTGTCTGTGTGTGTGTTTCCAGAGCCCTTGGCGGATCTTCTGTTTTGCCATTTCTCTGTAATATTTCCTCCTTTCTCCCTGCCTGGGGCTCATTTTTCTGTGACTCTGGCTTGATTCTAAGGAGTGGCCACCCCCTAATAGGCAAGAGGAGGAGGAGGAGGAGGAGGGAGCACTCCTTTACACAGGCTGTCCTCGACTTACAACAGTTCGTTTAGTGACCATTTACCACAGCACTGAAAAAAGGGACTTAGGACCGTTTTTCACACGACCGTTGCAGCCTCCCTGTGGTCACATGACTGGCTCGTATTTACGACGGTCGCAGCGTCCCGGGGGGGAGGTCACCCTGTCGCTAACTTAACAACTTGCAGGGATGGACTTAAGCCCTGTGGCAAGAAAGGTCGTGAAATAGGGCAAAACTCATTTAACAACGGTCTCGCTTAGCAACAGAAACAGGCTCAATTGTGGTCGTAAGTCAAGGACTCACCTGTATGCGGTTTGTTGTCTTATCAATGGGGAGATAATTAGGGCTGGTAAAGTTCAGCAAACCCCCCCCCCCATCTCGGGGTGACCAATTCAGCGGGATGAACAGCTTAGGTCAAGGGTAGGCAACCTTGGCCCTTTTATGACTTATGGACTTCAACTCCCAGAATTCCTGAGCCAGCCACGCTGAGGGGAAAGGGAGGTTTCCAAGCTGAGCCCTGCTGGCTCAGGAATTCTGGGAGTTGAAGTCCACCAGTCATGAAGGAGCCAAAGTTGCCTACCCCTGGCTTAGGGGGTTCCTGGTGTCATGAAGGCTCCGCGAGCTTTAGGGTCCCCTGATGGCTGGTGGGTGGGTGGGTGGAGTGGGCCGCCTTACCTGCCCCTGAGCCAGCTGGGTCCTTCCTTCCTTCCTTCCTTCCAGGCATTATCCCGCCCTGAAGACCTTAGAGCACCTCGAGCGGATGTGTTTGCCTCAAGTCAGCCATTACCGCTTCTGCAAGGTCCTGCTGGAGAACATTCCGAAGCTGCGGGAGGAGATCAAGGAGGTTTCCATGTCTGACCTCAAAGACTTCCTGGAGAGCATCCGTAAACACTCGGACAAGATTGGGGAGACGGCCATGAAACAGGTGAGGAGCCCGGCGGTGGGAGGCCGAAGCATCTCTCCCAGGTCACCGAGGACGTTGGCTCTGAGCCCTCTTTCCTCCCCTCGTCTCATCTCGTCCCGAGCCTTTTCCCTGCCTGAGTTCCCGAGGGCTGCTGAGCCTCCCTTCCAGATCTCAGGCAGCCTGTCTGAAGCCTCAGCTGCTGAGAAGGTCAGCCAGAGGCTGTGGCTTGCCCACCCCTGTTCATGCCCAGAAGGCTGGACTGGATGGCCTCGGGGCTCTCCCTCCGGGGCTGGCGTACACCGCTGTCGCCTCGAACGCTGGAGAACGCAGGCAGTGCTAGCTGGGCCTGGTTTCCGTTTTCTAGCTTTGGAACATGATTTATTTATTTTATTTATAAAACTTTCAGGCTGCCCATCTTACCACAAGGTAACCCTGGGCAGCTTAAAGTCATAAACGATAAAAACTCTGCAAACCAAAAGCAGGGCAGCTTTCATTTCTGACGCCTATCGCAACGGGGGGGGGGGGTGTGGGCTTCTCAGGATACCGCCAGCCTAAACCTCTTGTTTGCTGCTGCTGGGGGTGGAGGGCTTAGCGTACCGTGCAGAACAGCCAAATCGGTTTAGTCATTTTTTATTATGTCCATGCGTGCTCCTCGCCCGATTCCCGTCGCAGTTGCGTGACGTACGGAAAACGCACCAGAAGCAGTAAGCCAAAGAAGGAGGCAAATGCCACCCCAATCTTGCAGTTCACTCAGGCTTCTTTCACATCCAGACTCTGCTTTGTGCCTTCCGCCTTCGCCTCTGCATTCCGTGAAAATGGGTTCATTGCATAACCAGGTTTGATATCTAGGGTGACTCTGGCCTCTGTCTTTGGAAGATAACCGGCTTAAGTTGCCGTGACCAGACTGGATTTCAGATGACAGCCAAGAGGCATCTGCCTGCGCTGCTCTTGGAAAAGTTGTCGGCCGTGACATTTTGCTCTTCTGTGATGCTCACCCCTCAGCTGTGGATGACAGGGGAATGAAAAGGGGGCCTGGCCTTTGCTTTGCCCGGGGAGAGGACACAAGGCGTGGGCTGCTGGCCGGAGGGGAGGCGCTCTGGGCTCAGGGCAGAGAGGTCGGTCCTATCGGCACCCAGCCGGCCAACCGGACCCAAGGCCAAAAAGGGCAAAACCTGGCCTGTTAAAGAGGGGAGGGGGGGACAAAATGATGGTCTTAAACTGCAGGGATTCCCTTGTGGCCACGGAGGGGAACTCACTGCTTTGAATGGCTTCACTCTTTAGGACAGAGGTTCTCAACCTGTGGGTCGGGACCCCATTTGGGGTCGATCGACCATTTCACCGGGGTCACCAACAAGGCTGTCGGCCATTTTTCCCCCTTTTCCGGCGGGTGCCTTACCTCCCTTGGGCTGGGCCAGCTGGTGGTCGGCCTGCTCCGTCTCTGCCGCTTGCCAGCTACGCCTCGGCTGGCGCAGGGGGCGGAACCACGCATGCGTGGCGCTCCCGGGCAGGGAAAGTCCTCGACTTATGACCGGTTGGGTAGTCCTCGACTTACAACCGGTTTAGTCCTCGACTTACAACCGGTTTAGTCCTCGACTTACGACCGGTTGGGGTCGCGGCATTAAAAAGGTTGAGAACCACTGCTTTAGGAAATAAAGATGCTTCTCCTGCACGGCCGTATCTGGGTAGCTGCAGCCAAGTTCGCTAGAACACGGGTCCCCAACTCCAGGGCTGCGGCCTAGTACCTGGGCTGCGGCCCATTCAGAGGCAAGCAGTGTGTGAGTGTGCAGCACTCTCACAAATGGGGCTTCACCTGCGTGAGTGTGTGTCGCTCACATGGGAGCATTCCCTCCCTCCCCCCCCGCCAGTCTACAAAGCTGGAAAGGTTGGGGACCCCTGTGCCAGGGTGTGAATAGGTGAATGTGGGTCAGGAGGAGCGGAAGGGAAGAATCCTTGGGGGATGGACGGGGGCTGTGGGGGTGGTGGGGAGGCCGTCAGCCCCTTTTAAGACTGCAGAGCTGGAGAAGGCCCCCAGTGAAATGCCTGTGAGAAGATGGAGTTGCCTCCCTCGCTTTTGAGGCTCCAGGTGTGCGCGTGTGCGTGTGTACACGTGCACCCATGTGTGTTTCTTGGAAAGACCTTCCCTCCCCATCTTATGAATAGCTGCCTTTAGTCACATAGAGGCTGTCACGTGAACGTCCCTGGCAGAGGAAGGGGGCAGTGGCACCGCGCCGTAGGGCACGTCGCAAGAAATGCCAGCCTGCGCGTGAACCTCGCCCTCCTGGCCGAAGACCCAGCGGGGCGTCCGTCAACAGAGGAGCGGGCCCAACCGGGCTTTCCCTGTCAACGGCAGCCCTGGTGGTCCTTAAGCTCCCTCTAAACCAATAAACGGGGAGGGGGGCCCGCTGCGCTCGGGCGCTGGGTGTTTGAAACCGGCTTCATTAAAAGGATCCAGATCTACCTGATGTGAGCAGTTAAGGAGCCTGGTTGTTTACGGAAAAGCTGAGATGCTGGCAGAGGCAGCAGCCGCCGCTGTATTCCTGGAGAAGTTGCAAGGTTATCCTCATGGAAAGTGCTAATCATGCAGTGTTTCTCAACCTTGACCATTTTAAGGCATGTGGACTTCAACTCCCAGAATTCTACAGCCAGCGTTGCTGGCTGTGGAATTCTGGGAGTTGAAGTCCACATGCCTTAAAATGGTCAAGGTTGAGAAACACTGTGCTAATGGCTCTCCCTTGTCTGGTGGTGCCCGACTGACTGACGGAGAAGGTCTCCGCTCGCTCACCAAGGCAGCCCACGTCCAGCTCAGGCTGTTTACGCGCTCGGAGGAGCCAAGACAGAGACGGCTTCTTCCCTTGCTCCTTTCTTCGCCTCCTCCGGCCTCCCCGGAGCCATTTGGACCCCGGGGGTATCGGAGGAACAAGCCTCCGTGGCCGTCAGGGGGCTTCCTACCCCGGCCTGGAGCAGCCGAAGCGAAGGGGTTCCGTTCTCTTGCTTGCTGTTGGAGCAGTGCAGCATGGGCCAAGAGAGTCCAACCCTCCCTCCCTCCTTCCCTCCCCCCCAACCGCTCTGCGCTTGACTGCTGGAAGCAAGTCTGACTTCCTCTGCTCTTGACCCCTCCCCGCCATTCCTTTGCCAGGTGCCCCCCCCTCTCTCTTTGCCTTTTATCCGTGGAGTGGAGGGAGGGCTCTTTGCCTTGGGCCACGGACTGTGTTCCTTACATCTTTGTGGCTAGGTCAGAGGTGGGGGGCTCCTGACCTGGCCCCCTGGCGCAGGCGGGTAATAAAAAGCAGGGCCCTCTAATGCTTTCCTTCCCGAGAGACCGAGGGTGCCCACGCGGGTCATCCTCCCCTGACAGCCTCTCTTCCACGCACCCAGGGCTGACTCAGCGCCCCCCTCCGCCCCTTCTCTGCATCGATCCTGAGTTTCTTAGCCTGGATTCAGGCCTGGCCCTTCAGTTCTCCCCCCCACCCTTTTCCCTGGGGGGCTATGGAAAGAAAAGGGAGGGGCCGGCAGGAGCGTCCCTCCTGACGTTTGTGGCGGTTCGTTCAAGGTCCCGAAAGAGAAGCCTTCCAGTGGAGGATAGGAACTGGAGAGCAAAAATTAATCTTTGCTGGGAGCACCGAACAGAAATCTGCACGTCCTTCCAGGATGGAAGAGGCCACAAAAATGCCAGGCTCCCCTTTGTCCCCATGGGCCCCCCCGCCCCCGCCCCCGCCCCACACGGTTGAGAAAAGCTGCTTCTCCCCCAGGAAGGGAAGAGTCTCTTCTCTCTGCTCTTCGCCCGTTCCCTCCTTCCTTCCCCGTGCCGAGGGCCTCTCTCTGGGCCTCCGGCTCCTCTCTGCATCTTGGACTGGTGCCCCAAGGAAGAGGGTCCAAGTTCCGCCTTTGCAGGTTATAAGCATTCAACGTCTCAATGGTACCTTTATTATTATTATTATTATTTATTGAATTTATATACCGCCCTATCTCCCTTACGGGACTCAGGGCGGTGAACAGGTGATAATAAAAACCACGATAAATATACACAAATTTCTGTTCTAAAATCAAATTAAATAACAGGCCTGCTCTAAAAATACCCCATATAAAACCCCTAGCAAAGCCCAATCAAAACTACGCCAGGCCGGCCGCATGGAATAGATGGGCCTTCAGGGCTCGGCGAAAAAGGCGCAGGTCCGCAACTGTACGTAGGTCGGGGGGTAGGTCATTCCAGAGGGCAGGAGCTGCCACAGAGAAGGCTCTCCCCCTGAGGGTCGCCAGCCGGCATTGTCTGGCCGACGGCACCCTAAGGAGGCCCTCTCTGTGGGAGCGGACTGGTCGAAGGGAGGTATTTGGTAGGAGGCGGTCTTGCAAATACCTGGGTCCATTGCCACGGAGCGCTTTAAAGGTTGTTACTAACACCTTGAAGCACACCCGGAAGGCCACAGGCAGCCAGTGCAGCTCGTGCAGGAGAGGTGTTACATGGGAGTATCTAGAGGCCCCCAGGATCCCCCGCGCGGCCGCAGCGGGGGGATCCCTCCCTGGTCTTCTGAGCCCCACGGCGGCTGCGTGGGAGGCTCTGGCCCTCCAGACCTCAGCAGCTCGGCTGGTGTCGCCCTGGGCCGTCTCGTGCCGGAACATGGGCTGAGCAGGCCACATCAAAGCTCCTCAGGCCTTCCTCCGTGGTCGCCTCTGTTGCTCTGTTAACTCTGGTTTGGACTTTGCAAATCGGCGGGAGGCATTATCGCCCACACGTTGAATGCCCAAGGCAGCTGTCCCGTTTCCCCATCTCTCTCTCTGAATCGGTGCAGTCTCGCCCTCGGCTGCCTGCACGGGGCCTGGGAACCGCAGCCTGTTGGGTGATTACCGTCCGGTTAGCTTGATTGAGTCTGAACTGCGCAGGTTCTGCTCCCCCCCACTCCTCACTCTGTTTACCCATTAACTGCTCTGGGCCAAGAGTTTTCAAGGGTCTTTACTTTTTAGTGGTCTCATCTATGTCAGGGGAAAAAAATGGAAAGCTTGCTTGGTCTGGACAGGAGGGGAAA